ACCTCGCGATCCGCCCTCCTCGGCCTCCCAAAGTGCTGGGATTACAGGCGTGAGCCACTGTGCCTGGCCTGACTGATTTTTAAAAATAAATAAATACCATTCTCCAACTAAAGGTATAAGGGCTCCTTGGAGAAATGGCCAAGTACAGTACTAAGAAATTACAAGATGAACACGGGGCGTAGTTACAGCAGAAAAGTAAGGGAGTCTCCAAAAGTGATGGGGACATGCCAAAAGAACACAGGAGGCAGCTAGAAGGAGCTCTCTCTGGCCAAATATGAGACAAACTGAGCATTAAAATAAAAGTAGGCTGGGTGTGGAGGCTCACATCTGCAATCCCAGCACTTTGGGAGGCCAAGGCAGGCGGATCACCTGAGGTCAGGAGTTGGAGACCAGTATGGCCAATACGGCGAAACCCTGTCTCTACTAAAAACACAAAAATTAGCCGGGCGTGGTGGGACACGCCCATAACCCCAGAAACTTGAGAGATTGAGTCACAAGAATCACTTGAACCTGGAAAGCAAATGTTGCAGCGAGCCAAGATGGTGCCGCTGCATGCACAGCAGGGCAGGGCAGGGCTCTTTGTTGCCCAGGTTGGAGTGCAGTGGCACGATCTCGGTTCACTCCAACCTTTGCCTCCCAGGTTCAAGTGATTCTCCTGATTCAGCCTCCCAAGTAGCTGGGACTACAGGCACACACCACCATGCCTGGCTAATTTTTTTTTTTGTATTTCTAGTAGAGACAGGGTTTCACCATGTTGGCCAGGTTGGTCTCGAGCTCCTGACCTCAGTTGATGCGCCCACATAGGCCTCCCAAAGTGCTAGATTACCAGATAATACAATTTTTACAAATTGAAGTTTGTGGCAACCCTGTGTCAAGCAAGTCTACGGGCGCCATTTTTTTCTCTCTCTTTTTTTACCTTTTTTTAAAGACAGGGTCTCGCTCTATAACCCAGGCTGGAGTGCAGTGGTTCGATCTCGTCTCACTGCAACCTCTGCCTCCTGGGCTCAAGGGAACCTCCCACCTCAGCCTGCCGAATAGCTGGGACCACAGGTGCATGCAACACTTGGCTAATTTTTTGTACTTTTTGTAGAGACGAGGTTTCGTCATGTTGCCCAGGCTGGTCTCGAACTCCTGGGCTCAAGTGATCCTGCCACTCTGGCCTCCCAAAGTGTTGGGACTACAAGCATGAGCCACCGTGCCCAGCCTGGGAGCCATTTTTCTAACAGCATGTGCTCATTTCATGTTTCTGTGTCACATTTTGGTAATTCTTGCAGTATTTCCACTTTTTTCATTATTGTTACATTTTTTCTGGTATCTGTAACCAGTGATCTTTGATATTACTACTGCAATTGTTTTGGGGCAGCATGAACCAAGATCACATAAGACAGCAAACTGGCTGGGTGCAGTGGTGGCTCACACCTGTAATCCCAGTACTTTGGGAGGCCGAGGCAGGTGGATCATGAGGTCAGGAGTCCAAGACCAGCCTGACCAACATGGTGAAACCCTGTCTTTACTAAAAATACAAAAATTAGCCAGGTGTGGTAGAGCGCGCCTGTAATCCCAGTTACTCAGGAGGCTGAGGCAGGAGAATTACTTGGACCCGGGAGGCGGAGGTTGCAGTGAGCCGAGACCCAGAGCAAAATTCTGTCACTAAAAAAAAAAAAAAAAAAAAAAAGACAGTAAACTTAGTAAATGTGTATTCTGACTGCTCCACTGACCTGCTGTTCCCGTCTCTCTTCCTCTTGTTGGACCTCCCTATTCCCTGAGATACAATATATTGAAATTAGGCCAATAACCCTCCAATGGCCTGTAAGTGTTCAAGTGAAAGGAAGAGCCCCATGTCTCTCACTTTAAATCAAAAGCTACAAATAATCAAGCTTAGTGTGTCGAGAGCCAAAAGCTAAACCTCTTTAGTCAAACAGCCAGGTTGTGAATGCAAAGGAAAAGTTCATGAAGGACATTAAAAATTTGACTCCAGGGAACACACGAATGATGAGAAAACAAAACAGCCTTATTACGGAACCAGAGAAGTCTGAGTGATCTGGATAGAAGATCAAACCAGCCACAAAATTCCCTTAAGCCAAAGCCTAATCCAGAGCAAGGTTGGTTCATGAAGTTTAAGGAAAGAAGCCATTTCCGTAACCTAAGAGTGCAAGGTGAAGCAGTAAGTGCTCATGTAGAAGCTGCAGTAAGTTACTCACAAGATCTAACCAAGATAATTCATAAAAGTTCAAACAATATCAAACAACAGGCCAGGCGTAGTGGCTCACACATGTAATCCTAGCACTTTGGGAGGCCGAGGCAGTTAGATCACTTGAGGTCAGGAGTTAATGACCAGCCTGACCAACATGGTGAAACCCCATCTCTACTAAAAATACAAAATTAGCCAGCCATGGTGGTGCATGCCTGTAATCCCAGTTACTCAGGAGGCTGAGGCAGGAGAATCGCTTGAAACTGGGAGGTGAAGGCTGCTGTGAGCCGAGATTGTGCCACTGCACTCCAGCCTGGGCAACACAGCAAGACTCCATCTCAATATATATATATATGTATATATATATCTCAAACAATAGTCTTTCAACAGCTCTGACGGAGATATACAAGGAGATTTGCATTGTTTTCATGCCCACTAATACAACATCCATTCTGCAGCCCATTGATCAAGGAGTAATTTCAACTTCCAAGTCTTATTATTAGCAGTAATAATAGGCCAGGCGCGGTGGCTCACGCCTGTAATTCTAGCACTTTGGGAGGCCGAGGCGGGCGGATCACAAGGTCAGGAGATTGAGACTATCCTGGCTAACACGGTGAAACCCCGTCTCTACTAAAAATACAAAAAATTAGCCGGGCGTGGTGACAGGCGCCTGTAGTCCCAGCTACTCAGGAGGCTGAGGCAGGAGAATGGTATGAACCCGGGATGAGGAGGTTGCAGTGAGCCAAGACCGTGCCACTGCACTCCAGCCTGGGCGACAGAGCGAGACTCCATCTCAAAAAAAAAAAAAAGTAGTAACAGTAAGGTGATCCTCCTACCTCACCCTCCCACACTGTGAAGAATACAGGCGCCGGGCGTGGTGGCTCAAGCCTGTAATCCCAGCACTTTGGGAGGCTGAGACGGGCGGATCACAAGGTCAGGAGATCGAGACTATCCTGGCGAACACGGTGAAACCCCGTCTCTACTAAAAATACATAAAAAACTAGCTGGGCGAGGTGGCGGGCGCCTGTAGTCCCAGCTACTCGGGAGGCTGAGGCAGGAGAATGGCGTAAACCCGGGAGGCGGAGCTTGCAGTGAGCTGAGATGGCACCACTGCACTCCAGCCTGGGCGACAGAGCGAGACTCCGTCTCAAAAAAAAAAAAAAAAAAAAGAATACAGGCTGAGGCGGGAGGATTACTTGAGCCAATGAATTTGATACCAGCCTGGACAACAAGACAAGACCCCGCCTCTACTAAAAATTTCTACAAATTAGCTGTGTGCTGGGCACAGTGGCTCATACCTCTAATCCTAGCACTTTGGGAGGCCAAGGTGGGTCGATTGCTTGAGCCCTGGAGTTCAAGACCAGCCTGGACAACATGGCAAAACCCCATTTCTACAAAAATTAGTCAGGTGTGGTGGCACGCACCTGTGGTCCCAGCTTCCAAGCTACTCGGAAGGCTGAGGTGAGAGGATCACCTAAGCCTAAGGAGATAGAAGCTGCAGTGAGCAGTGGTCGCACCACTGCACTCCATGTCTGGGCGAGAGAGGGAGACCCTGTCACTGTACTCCAGCCCGGACAGCAGACAGAGACCCCGCCTCTAAAATAAAATAAAAAGAAATACATTTGGCTGGGCGTGGTGCCTCACTCCTATAATCCCAGCACTTTGGGAGGCCGAGGCAGGCAGATCACCTGAGGTCAGGAGTTTGAGACCAGCCTGGCCAACATGGTGATACCCTGTCTCTATTAAAAATACAAAAATCAGCTGGGCATGGTGGGGCACACCTGCAATCCCAGAAATTCGAGAGAATGAGGCACAAGAATCACTTGAACCGGGAAAGCGGAGGTTGCAGTGAGCCAAGATCACACCACTGTACTCCAGCCTGGGTGACAGAGCAAGACTCTGTATCAAAAAAAAAAGAAAGAAAAAAAAGAAATGCATTTTATAAGACAATAGATGCCATAGATAGTGATTCCTCTGAAGGATCCAGACAAAGTAAATTGAAAATCTCTGGAAAGGATGCACCATTCTAGATGCCATGGAGAATATTCGTGATTCAGGGGAGGACGTCAAAATATCAACATTAACAGGAGTTTGGAAGAAGTTGATTCTAACCCTCATGGATGACTCTGAGGAGCTCAGGGCCTCCATGGTAGAAGTAACTGCAGATGTGGTGGAAATAGCAAAAGAACTAGAATTAGAAATGGAACCTGAAGCTGTGACTGGGCTGCTTCAATCTTATGATAAAACTGTAATGGAGAAGGAGTTGCTTTTATGGATAAGCAAAGAAAGTGGGTTTTTTTTTTTTTTTTTTCGAGATGAATCTACTGCTGGCGAAGATGCTGTGAACACTGCATGAAAACAAGGATTTCGAAGTATTACAAAAATTATATGGTAACACAGTGGCAGGGTTTGAGAAAAGCAACTACAATTTTGAAACTAGTTCTTTCGGCCGGGCATGGTGGCTCACACCTGTAATCCCAGCACTTTTGGAGGCCAAGGTGGGTAGATCATCTGAGGTCAGGAGATCGAGACCAGCCTGGCTGACATGGTGAAACCCCATCTCTACTAATAATACAAAAATTAGCTAGGCATGGTGACACACATCTGTAATCATCTGTAATCCCATCTACTCAGGAGGCCAAGGAAGGAGAATTGCTTGAACCCAGGAGGCAGAGGTTGCAGTGAGCCGAGACGGTGACTGCACTCCAGCCTGGGCGACAGAGTGAGATTCTTGTCTAAAAAAAAAAAAAAGAGAGAGAGAGAGAGAGAGAAAGTAGTTCGTTCTTCTGGGTAAAATGCTATCAGACAGATCCTTTTATAGTTCCTAAGTGTGATCATTGGGTGTTCGCACTCACATGTGAGATGTGCTACCCTTGAACCTTGTCAGAACATCAGCACATTACCTGGTCGACATTTTTGTTTTTTGAGACGGAGTCTCGCTCTGTCGCCCAGGCTGGAGTGCAGTGGTGCCATCTCGGCTCACTGCAAGCTCCGCCCCCCCGGGTTCACGCCATTCTCCTGCCTCAGCCTCCCGTGTAGCTGGGACTACAGCGCCCACCACCACACCCGGCTAATTTTTTTTTTGAATGGAGTATTTACAGTTAAAACATAGTCTTAATTACAAAGGGGGAAAAAAAAAGAATAACTTTACAGTGGAGAAACGTGCCAGAGAAACCTTAACCAACTTATCAGAATGCACGTCACCGGTAATGGGACACATCACGTGTTTCCTGTGATTTTCTGCCAAAAATGCATAACCTGAATCTAATCCTGAGGACATAAACAAGCCCCAATTAAGGGACAGTCTACAAAATCACTTGATCGCACTGTTCAAAAGTATCAAGGTCATAAGAAAAACAAAGAATAGAGCAGCCATTCCAGATTAAATGAGACTAAAGAGAAATGACAAGTAAATGCAATGTGTGATCCTGGGTTAGGTCTTGGACAAGAAAACAAGTTTATTCTTTTGCTCTAAAGGACACTGCTGGCACCACTGGTGAAACTGAAGTAAAGTCTGTAAATTACAGTGTTATAGCAATGTTAGCTTCCTGAGTCTGACAATGATACTCTGGTTATATAAGAGAGTCTTTTGTCTTTATATATATACATGTAGGTATTGAGGAATGAAGGAACATTACATCTGCTACTCACCCTCAAATGGTGAAAAAAAACCCAAGTATATAAACGTTAAATTTGGGGACTCTGAGTGAAGAGCATATGCTGGAAATCTGTACCATTCTTTCAACTTTAAGTCTAAAGTCAGTTTAAAATAAAAAGCTAAAAAAGCAGACTATGGCTTGGCATGGTGGCTCACACCTGTAATCCCAGCACACTGGGAGGCCGAGGCAGGTGAATGACCTGAGGTTAGCAGTTCAAGACCTGCCTGACCAACATGGTAAAACCCTGTCTCTACTAAAAATACAAAAATTAGCCGGGTATGGTGGTGTGTGCCTGAAGTCGCAGCTACTCGGGAGGCTGAGACAGGAGAACTGCTTGAACCCAAGAGGCGGAGGCTGCAGTGAGCCAAGATCACGCCACTGTACTATAGCCTGGGCAACAGAACGAGATCAGTCAACAGAACGAGATCAGTCGTTTTTTTTTTTTTTTTTTTTTTTTTTTTTTTTTTTTGAGGCGGAGTCTTGCTCTGTCGCCCAGGCTGGAGTGCAGTGGCACTATCTCAGCTCACTGCAAGCTCCGCCTCCTGGGTTCACGCCATTCTCCTGCCTCAGCCTCCCGAGTAGCTGGGACTACAGGAGCCTGCCACCACGCCCGGCTAATTTTTTTTTTTGTATTTTTAGTAGAGATGGGGTTTCACCGTGTTAGCCAGGATGGTCTCGATCTCCTGACCTCGTGATCCACCCACCTCGGCCTCCCAAAGTGCTGGGATTACAGGCTTGAGCCACCGCACCCGGCCGAGATCAGTCTTAAACAAAATTAAAAAAAATAAAAATAGGCCGGGTGCAGTGGCTCACACCTGTAATCCCAGCACTTTGGGAGGCCAAGGCAGGCGGATCACAATGTCAAGAGATAGAGAACATCCTGGCCAATAAGGTGAAACTTCGTCTCTACTAAAAATACAAAAATCGGCTGGGCGCAGTGGCTTACGCCTGTAACCCCAGCACTTTGGGAGGCCGAGGCGGGTGGATCATGAGGTCAGGAGATCAAGACCATCCTGGCTAACACGGTGAAGCCCCATCTCTACTAAAAATACAAAAAATTAGCTGGGCGTGGTGGCGGGTGCCTGTAGTCCCAGCTACTCGGGAGGCTGAGGCAGGAGAATGGCATGAACCCGGGAGGTAGAGCCTGCAGTGAGCCGAGATCACGCCACGGCACTCCAGCCTGGGCGACAGAGCGAGACTCCGTCTCAAAAAATAAATAAATAAAAATAAATAAATAAATAATAAAAATACAAAAATTAGGTGGGCATGTTGGCACGCACCTATAGTTCCAGCTACTGGGGAGACTGAGGCAGGAGAAGCGCTTGAACCTGAGAGGAGGAGGTTGTAGTGAGCCAAGATTGCACCACTGCACTCCAGCCTGGCGACAGAGCAAGACTCCATCTCAAAATAAATAAATAAATAAATAAATAAATACAAATGAAAGTTACCTGATCCCCAAAGCCTGGTATTTGATCAGCGGATGTCACCCAGCTTACCATAATATAAAAGCTTAAGATTTCACACCATCACATACAACTTTTTTACTAAAGCAAAAATTATCGAATATTGTCTGAATGCTGAGTGCTACGCAGAACTGTCCATACACAGTCTACAAATGCGTACAACACAACTTCCTTTTACAAAAGAGGAAATCGGGCCTGGCATGGTGGCTCACATCCATAATCTTATGTAATCTTGGCATTTTGGGAGGTCACAACAGCAGGACTGTTTGAGCACAGAAGTTCCAAACCAGCCTGGGTAATGTAGGGAGACCCCGTCTCTATTTAAAAAAAAAAAAGAAAAGAGAACTATCCAGGCATGGTAGTGTACCCCTAGAGTCCCAGCTACCCAGGAGGTGGAGGTGGGAGAATCACTTGCGCCCAGGAGGTCGAGGCTGCAGTGAGCCATGACTGTGCCACTGTACTCCAGGCTGAGCAACAGAGTGAGATCCTTTCTCGAAAAATAAAAAAGGCAGAGGATAGCAAATACCATTCCATTATTTAAAAACAAGAAGACAGCATATATCTACATAGTCGGTAACTCCTAGTCATTCAGACTACTTAAAACTTTCTTCAGGGCCAGGCGCAGAGGATCATGCCTCTAATTCCACCACTCTGGAGGCCGAGGCGAGCAGATCATGAGGTCTGGAGTTTGAGACCAGCCTGGCCAACATGGTGAAACCCTGTCTCTACTAAAAATACATTTTTAGCGGGGTGTGGTGGCACACACCTGTAATCCCAGCCACTCAGGAGGCTGAGGCAGGAGAATTGCTTGAACCCAGGAGGCAGAAGTTGCAGTGAGCCGAGATCACGCCACCGCACTCCAGCCTGGGTGACAGAGTGAGACTCTGTCTCAAAAACAAAACAAAACAACAACAACAAAAACAAAAAAAACTTTCTTCAGTTTACAACTAAAATAAAAACACAGAGCTCATCTTACATGGCAACTCCAGGCCCGGGTGCACAGTCGCATTTTTGACCATAGGCGGGGAGTGACGACCATCATCCATGTCCAGTTCCGTGCACTGAGCTTCCCCGTGGATGACAGCCAAACCCAGACGCAGTCTCTCCGCATAGGACTGGGCCCTAGAAGGACAAAGGGAAATGGTGAAACTGACAGGAAGAAATCCCACATATCACTACTGCATCACTTTTTAACCACAAAATGAAAATATTTAACATTTCAGGGACATACAAAGGCATTATTTATATAAATGAGAATGTGAGGCCCAGGTCAGAATGTAAATGCCTCAAAGCGCACATGAGTTAGTGTCTGGGATTGTATCTGATTCTAGACCTTTTTTTTTTTTTTTTTAAGACAACGTCTCACTGTCACCCAGGCTGGAGTGCAGTGGCGTCAACATGGCTCACTGCAGCCTCAACCTCCTGGGGCTCAGGTGATCCTCCCAGCTCAACCTCCCAAGTAGCTGGGATCACAGGCATATGTTACCATAACTGGCTAATTTTTGTATTTTTGTAGAGACAGGGTCTCACTATGTTACCCAGGCTGGTCTTGAACCCCTGGGCTCAAGCGATCTCCCGCTTTGGCCTCCCAAAGTGCTGGAATTACAGGCGTAAGCCACGCCGCCCAGCTCTGATTCTAGATAATTTTGATTCTATCCTTTGTCCAATATTCTTAATAGTCATCTTCAGAAGAAAGAACAACGTTAAAAACCATTGCCTGGGCCGGGCACAGTGGCTCGCGTCTGTAATCCCAGCACTTTGAGAGACCGAGGTTGACAGATCACCTGAGGTCAGGAGTTCAAGACTAGTCTGGTGAACATGGTGAAACCCCGTCTCTACTAAAAATACAAAAAATGAGCCAGGAGTGGTGGCAGGTGCCTGTAATCCCAGCTACTGGGGAGGCTGAGGCAGGAGATGTGCTTGAACCCAGGAGGTAGAGGTTGCAGTGAGCCGAGATCAAGCCATTGCACTCCAGCCTGGGCGACAGAATGAGACTCCATCTCAAAACAAAACAAAAAACAAAACAAAACAAAACTATTCGCTGAAAAATGCTCATAGCCTCATTGATTTCCTTTCTCTGGGAACTTGAAGAAACTTTGTTTTCCCAGAGGAGAGCTGAGCAACTCAGCAACCATGTGTGTTGTCTGGAGGCTGGAGATAAAGCTGTGTGTGGCATGGGACGTGGCAACGAGGGAGGGGTTAACATGAGAGCCAATGGGTTTTCACAGGCAAGTGACAGCCTCTGGATTCCAAAGCAGCTCATTCTGACTTTGGGAGTGCTCAGGAGGGATCAGGACCCAGGTCTAGCTTACTTACCTCTTTGCAGCATCAGGAGACTTAGCTACAATGACTGCATTTCTGTAATTTGGAATCTAGATTTGAAGGAAAAATAGAAAATACTGAAAAGTTATCAGAAAATAACACTTGGATGCTAGTATTCAAGTTCGTACAACAATGATCCAAACTAGTCATCAAATATGCTAGAATTTTAGCCACAAGTTTTAGATTTTTCAATATTTATCAATTAACATCATTGCAAAAAGCACTCCATCAAGAATTTTTAAAAAATAAATCTTATTAAAACCTTCATTTTAGAAAACATAAGCAAATTGCTAAAGATACGTAGGAAAAAAAATCCATTTTTAGTGTCTTTTAAAGCTATGATCCTCCACGACTAAAGTTGACCCTGTCTGCTGCCTCAGGCATTGCGACTTAAGGGAGAGCTCATTTGATGCGCCTTTCAATATCGAAATCTGATACCAGAGAAAAACTAGATAAGATCTCTTTTGAG